GCGGAAAATAATCGTTGGAGTGTTACGTAATATCCCTCCCTCTTTTTTAAATAAATTCACAAAAGCCTACATTATTACACACTCTTTAACGTTTCTATGTTACTAGATAATTGTGTAAAAGTGTAACATTTAGCCCTTAAATCTTATCAGCCCCCCAGTGGCACAGCGGACTTACAACGCTAGAAACCGGGTTTCGATACCCGTGGTTGGCAGATCACAGATAGCCCATTGTGTAGCTTTGTGCTTAACTTCAAAAACAAAACTTATCAGGCCTGATACTTTATCAGGAAATGCTTATCAGGAAATTAAGTGTCATGGTGTCAGAGCCAGATTTAGAGTAGGGCTGTAAGGGTGGCCGACGCTGACCCTCAAAAAATATTGACAACCTCTGGCCTCAAGTTGTTGAAAATGAGAACACTAGAATTTTTAATGCGACTAAATATCCACAGATCTGGAAGTTTTTCAAAGAACTGTTATATTGTTGAAATATAACAGCACTTGAGAACAACTCATCGTCCTCTGTATAGTATAACTGTCTAGTAGTTTCCGACAAAAGTATTTCTAGCCTACTGCAGTCATATTTAGCTTGACCTCAAAATTCTCAAGAACCCCCGGCCCCTTGTTCCCTTAATCCGGTCCTCCCAAGTGTTATCGTTACTTTGCAAGCTCCAGAATAGGCATGTACTGCAACAACAACAACAACAAAAACCCAGCTGGTTTGCCATGGTGATGTCTATGTTCCTTGTTGTCAAACTATGATACTTCTTCAGTATTGTAAAATGTGTGAGGTTCCTTTACAATTGGATAAAGTTCACCCAGAGAATCAACTATATCGAACAATATATTATTTTAATGGGGGTTTTAAGTCATTTTCCAATAAATTGATGTTCTATACAAATCAGTGTTATAAGAGGCCGAACTGTATATATTTGATTTGCCAGCCCAAGCTGTGCTAATGAGCCTTCAATAGGCGAAACTGCAGACCACAGCAGTGGGTACGGCCAATCAGAGAAAACAATAGATCTCTACTTCACGAATACTCTTTACTCCAAATGAAGAAGAATCTGTAATATTATATTTTGATCATTAAAAAACAGACAGAGACAGAAACAAATATTTACATGATAAACGTGTGCGTGTGTAGTATTTTATACAAACAATATTTTACTGGTTTATAAGTCGTGATACATCATCCACAGTATATTTGGCAGTTGTGAGTAGTGAAGTAGTGTAGACTTTGGTATGCTACATGCACCCCACCCAAGCTTGAATGCTTATAACGCTAAAATTCTGGGCTTCATCCCCGCGGTTAGCAAAGTATAGGTGGCCCATTGTGAAGTTTTATTATTAACAATATAAAAAAAGAAACAAAATCATCCAGCCATTACTTATATACAAGTAATAGGCAATAAGTTAAATTACTTAGCTGCTCATTAACAAACTATAACATTTTAAATCTCATCTGCCAATTTCAGTTATTTTCAAACATAAAAAATATGAACAGTAAACAATGCCATCTGGCGAAGACTTTTTTCTTTGAAAATATACGAGTAAATACTTTATAACGAAGGAGTAATAACACATTTAAAACTACAGATGCTACAATCTCTTTAGTGAATTTTTACTGATTCTAAACCACACGTACGTTAAGTTAGTTTTATATATTTACGTTTCGTCCGCCATAGGTATCCATCCGGACACATTTCTAACGCTGTTTTTATACACGCACACACACGTGTTTTTAAAATCCGTAACGGATTGACCAAAAGCTTGTTAGATATATATATTTATGCGATATTTTATTACACTGTTTACGCCTATATAAATTTGCTTAGACGTTTAACACCATGATACGTGATATATTCGAAACATAAAGTATTTCACCTAATAGATTCTAAGAAATTAAATTGTTAAGAAGTTTTGGGTAGCTCATGGAAGGATCCAGAAGTCCTGAAATAAGACTCCATCTTCTAGAGCTATGAAATCCTTTTATCGGATTTCGAAGATATAAAAATCTGGAATAGTTACAAACACTTTTCTGTCATGTCAGGTGAAGCATCGAATCGTTAGTCATCGAAAACAGATCATTTCCCCAGGCCTTAAGTCATGATATTGTTTTATCTCTGGAATAGGATTACGTTTTAAAGTCAAACTCAACAGGGTTTAGATATCATTTCACGTTATTTGATATTGGGTTGACTGAACAAGGATATAGTGTTACTCGAGAACAGAGCCTGCTTCTACAAGATGTTCTCGGTATAATTTCCGAAGAACGTACATTCTTTCATTACTCTGTGGCTCTCAGGTTATCGATACGTTCCGGTTTAAAGAACATAAAACAAAGTAACCCGCAAACCATCGGATCTCCTGTCTGTACCGTGAACATGTCCTATCAAAGTATTTAAAGCACTAACATAATTACAAATTATCTTTACAAGTGTGATAATTCTACGTGTGATAACGGAACACTAGAATCTCAATAAATAAGACTGGACGAAAGACAAATGCCATTTTTGTATAAAATTTTACTCTGAAGTATCCGGGGTTCGATTCCCCACGGTGGATATAGCAGATACCTCAATGCAGTTTTGCGCTAAAGCAGAACATAAATATAAACAAACACACTGTAGTGTTGATGAATGATGTAACAGAATATACCGACACTTATCCCGAATACCTAAAAATTCAATTTCAGATAATCTAAACATATTCTATACAATACTTAAGGTTGATCGGACAGAAGAAACTTCAGATAATCTAAACATATTCTGTACAATATGTAAGGTTGATCGGACAGAAGAAGCTTCAGATAATCTAAACATATTCTATATAATACATAAGGTTGATCGGACAGAAGAAGCTTCAAATAATCTAAACATATTCTGTACTATACGTAAGGTTGATCGGACAGAAGAAGCTTCAAATAATCTAAACATATTCTGTACAATACGTAAGGTTGATCGGACAGAAGAAGCTGCAGATAATCTAAACATATTCTATACAATACGTAAGGTTGATCGGACAGAAGAAACTCTTAGTTCCGTATAACAGTCTTTTCTGCCACCGTATGGTTTGAAAAAAAAAATAAAAAAATCCTAAAATAGCATATTAACTCGACATTTTGTGAGAAATTCTTGGACATGTAATTT